GTCATGGCGATCCACATACCCATACCTTACCAGCTTCATCTGCGTCTCTCAACTCATTTCAAAGTTTTCCTTCTTCGGGTACAATCTCATTTCGATCTGGTACATCTTCATCTGTGACCTCCTTACAATCTCATGCTTCCTCTAGTCACTCTACCATCTATCATCGAGGTCTTTCATCATTCACATCTCAGAACATGCGACGCGCTTTCCGTGCTTACGAGGATCGTGAGGATGAAAGAGTTGAAGATGGCTTAGAGATTGATGCTGGTAGTCTTCGATCTGAACGATTGCGAAGTCGGACTAATAGCTCCTTGAGCTCAGCTAGTAGTCAACAGACTGGATCTCATCATCATCGACCCGCAGGACCTAGCTCAGCTTCATGGACTTCATCCAACAATCCACATCAAGGTGCAATCTATCAACAAAAACGAATGACCGTTCCTTTCCCATCTACTTCTACTCCTGTTCCTCTCAACATCCCAACTAGCTCAAGCTTTGATATCAAACACACCAAAGCGAGCTATATGCGTTCGATCTCAACACATTCGATGGATCTCAACGCACTCCATTCATCGAACTCGATCGGAAGTCAACGAAATTTCACTAGTGTTCATCCATCTCCTAACCATCGTCCTACATCTGTCGTCAATCCTTCGTATCCTTCCACTTCCACTTCGAGGGCTAGTCCCAATCTGTCTTCATCTCGACCTACATCTGTTGTTTTACCTACCATCAAACATGGCTCGTCTGATCACGTTCCATCCACTGGCGAGTCTCTTGAACCCTCGCGTTTTCGTAACAAGAGCTTGAGATCAAGTCCTAGTAATGGTGAATTGGCATCTGCATCTGCTAATACTTCTACATCTATCACATCTCGATATAATCCACAACCACCTTCTCGAATAAAGTCACCCTTGGGACAAGCTATCTCTCGACCTGGTAGTAGTCATTCTTCTAGGCCCGGTAGTAGTCAGTCTATCAAAGCAAGTCACCATCTCTCACAGCCCCTTCGAACTCGGACATTGACTACTGCAGGGAATAGTCAGCAACAACAGCATTCAACCTCAATCAGTCAAAGAGTCCTCAAACATAAAAAGTCAGCCGTGTTTCACAAAAGCCTTACTTCTGGGGCCCAAGATGATTCACACAGTACACCTAAACAAACTACTCCTTCATCTTTATCACTATTGACGAGTAGCTCTCATCAATCCTCCAATCCCAACACTCATCACAGTCGCCTTCTTGCTCGTAAACGGTCGATGCCGTCCTTGAGTACGGAGACAGTGGAGAACCGGCAATCAGTGGGAGTTTTCCCCAAGTCTACCGCTATATCTGGTACATCATCTTCATTATCAATGAGGCCCAAGTCAAGACAAGATAGACCGCCTGGGTCGAACACATCAAATACAAGTACAAGCTCATCGACAATAAGTAGCTCATCTAGACCTAATCATTCGGCTAATGACTTGATGAGAGGTCATCATAATCTGTCTACACCACTTGCTACCATTGCAGGATCACCTGACCGACCTGATCTTACTGGTCATCAAAAACGAATAACAGATCAAATGAACCAATCAAGGCCTAATACACCGCAAAAACAAACTAGAGGATTGATGATGACGACGACCAATAGTAATTCGAGATTGACGATGCCTACAATTGCGAGTCGATTGAAAGCGAAACCATCGATTGTACAAGACAAATTAAAGAGAGGGATCAGAAAAGTGTATGGAGATGGAACGGAATTAGATGAATTTGATGATTTACCTACGAGTAAAGAAAAAGAAAGAAAGTTTACGACACGTGGGAAAGGAGAGAATGTAAGTACGATTGGATTAGGGATTAAGAGTAAGTTGATTGAACAGAGGAAGGTGGAAGGGGCTAGAAGGCGAGCGGCTGCTAGAGCTGGACATGTGCTTTCGGGTGGTAGTAAGAAAGGATTGATTAGACAGATGAGTGAAAATACTTTGGCTAAGAGTAAGTTTTTTTCAAAAAGAAAATGTGAGACCAGAGTTAGATTTAAGGCTGACTTGGAACGCGCATTTATCTTTGTGTTTTTTTTTGGCTAGCATCTAAAAATTCAGAGATGAGATGGAATTCCCATGATTCAAGATGGGAAGGTAATGAATCGATTTTAAGAGCGTTTGATAATGTATTATCATCATCATCAAGACCAGCATTGATCACACAACTTTCGACGATCCCATCATCCGCATCATTTCATCATAAACCAGAACTTCATCATCATTCATCAAGTACGACGAGTGGGATGATCGGTAACAAAGCACATAATCATACAGTAGGAGAGATGGTCTTTGATTCGATTGCAATGTGTTGGAGATCTAGAGCACCTGAACAAGAGATTCGATTGGAGATTGAATTGGATGAATCGGAAGAAGATGAACTGAAGTTGATTGAAACCATGGCTCCTCCGAAATCTTCTTGTAGTTTGTCTTCTGGTTCGAATTTGATTAAACCATTTATGAAGAACCAAAGCCAAGGATTCAAGAATGAGTTTCATCAGTATCCCGAATGTGTGAAACGAGCGATTATGGGTATGAATGGAACGAATTCGAATCAAGAAGAAGTTACGGAAGGAGGAACAGGAGAAGTGGGAACATTGGTGAATCATCATGAGTTTAAGGAAATCGAAAGTTTGATTGGGTTTTGGAATTCGTGTGTTTTGGCCGAAGAATCTAATAGGAAAGAGTTGAGGAGTTGGATTGGTAAGAAAAAGAAACGGGGTGAGGTGGGATTTGGAGTGGGAGTTGAGGAAAGGAAATATTTGATGGAAATTCGAAAAGTTTGTTTCTTTCCCCCTTTTTTTTGAGGAGAGAGAGAAGTGGTTTTGGGTTGACTGATTTTGGGTTTTTTTTTGTTTAGTTGGTCATGGATCAGTAGTCATTCAATGTGTGTGTGTGTATTTTCTTTTTGAATTTATATTGTGGAGGATTAAGTTGATTTTTTTGACATGATTAAGGAAGAAGAAGAAAAGAAAAGAAAAGAAAAGAAAAGAAAGATTTACAATTTTCAAACCAATCCTTTTTGTCCTTGTTTTTTTTTTGTTTTTTTGTTTTTTTGATTTTTTTGATTTTTGATTTTTTTTTGGTTTTTTTTTTCAAGGTTTTTCGTTTTATCTTTCAATCGACTTTTTCATTTACAAAAATTCCAATGAACCATCCGAAAAACTTTGAAAACATTTTGCTTTGATTTGCTTTTTCTATATCTTTCTTTTAGATTATGAGTTGTTTTTTTTTGCGAAAATATATAAAAATAATCAATGAATTTCTTAACTCGTGTTTATTCTTTTTTTACTCCTTTGGTTTCTACGGGGTTTTTTTTATGGGTTTTTTTTATGGGTTTTTTATGGTTTTTTTTTGTGTTTTTATACTTTTTTTGTTTTTATACTTTTTTTGTTTTTATATATAATTTTTTTTTATTTTTTTATTTTTTTGAATGTTTGATTTTTTTGAATGTTTGTTTTTTTTGGGGGCAGGAGAAGGGTTTTTTTGGTTTTTCATTGAAAATATGAACCATTATTTTATCTTAACAATTCAATATGATTGTTTGAATATGAAGAAGAAAGAAAAAAATGAAAAAGTAAGGTTTTGGGGCCCGGGGTTACTGGTTGGGTTTGAGAAGACGGGTCTTTTGGGGGGTTCCAGTGCTTTGAAAGTTTGAGTTTGGAAAACTTGATTATTTTTTCTTGATGTTCAACATACAAAGGAATAGTTATGGTTCTCAAACCTATGCAAAAATTTGTGCAAGTTTCGAGCAACTTCTGTGCAAGACATGAATAGAACTTGCACGGAACTTGCACGTCGGTCTCGCACGGTTTTCGTACCAGTTGGAACAAAATAGCTGGGGTCGTCAAAAAATTTAATGCGCAAGATTGGTGCAAGAAATCTTGCACGGATCTTGCACGTCGGTCTTGCACATTTCTTGCACAGGTTTGAGAACCATAAGTATGAAAAAAGTGAAGATTAGAGTGTAGGAGAAAAGAATGAATAGTACATAGGGTTTTTTGTTTATGCATGAGAGAAAAAGTGGGAATTGAACTGAGGAGTACTTGATGTGAAATGTAAGCAAGGAATAGGAGTAGGTCAACATTTAAGACGGTAAGAACTTCATATACTACAAACAATTACTTAAATAGAATGTAAAACAGTGAGATTCAAGATATCAGGTTTATATGAAAAGCTGAACTGTTGTTACTGATCAAATGGGAAAGAAGAATTTAAAGGTAAATGAAAGTTGTTATAAAACATATATTTGATGGTTGAGGCTTGATAGAAACAAAGGGGATTTGGTCAACAATACAAATGAACCTTTTGAATGAGAAAATCAAAGATAATCATAGATTGACAGTTTATAAAGATGAAAAGAAACTATGTATCTTTCAAAATTTGGATGGAGTCTGGTACATTGAAGTTTCAATTTCACATTCAGAAACCAAGATCTTGGGACTTCTTTTTGGGGAGAAAACTCGCATTTTGTTTGTCTTCAACTGGAACAAGGGAAGTAAGATCTTTTCAAATCCAAAATAACAAACAGATAGCCATGTAAGGGTACATAGGATCCCAGTACCATATAATAGTGAAAAGACTTCATACATCGGAAATAGCCCAGACAATCAGTTGATAACAAACAACAAAGATAAAAAAAGATAATTTTCAACAAAGATTTTTTCAAGATTTTGGTAAACTAACATCATAACTAACCAACAAACTAGAAAAATCAAAAAAAAATCAACAAAATATATATTCAAAAAAAGTATTTTTTTGGGAGAGAATGCAACCTGTGCAAACTAAGCTAAGATTCGAAAAGTAAAATAAACCAATGAGTTAGAAAGCTTTTCGAAATCCAATTGAGTTTCGAGAGGATAAAGATCAACAACTTACCAGATTTTTTAAAAAGACTATAAGTACTTGATCAAATCCTGATTTCCCTAAGCTTGATTCTCGTTCTATTCAAACATCACAAGAGATAGAAATCCAACATTATTAGTTTATAATGTATTTTTGATCCCATCATTGATTTAAGAAACAAATCCTAACACTTACTTCTTTGTGATTTACTTCTGATTTCAATTCCGCTTGTCGCAAGGTTATCAAGTTATTAAAGTATCCATTCAAGTAACCCACCGAGTTTGCATAACCGTATCCATTATTGCAATTCGAAGCACTCCAGCAGGTGGTTCGGTAGTTAGACAGACCACAACCTAAGATATAACCATTACCACATGTATACAATGGGTAACCATAGTTGCTGGCATAATTCCCAAGGATATTGAGAGGTAAACCAAGACCAAGAATTTTTTGACGGATCGTGTTCGACTCTGCTGACATTTGTCCAACAGTCTGTTCTGAACGAACCGAAAGAGTAGAGGGAGCTGCGAGGAGAGATTGGAAGAGAACAACCATAGCGAAGATAAGAATGGCAAATGAACGCATATTGTCTAGTGAAGATTTGTTTGATAGATTTGATTGAAAGGTTTTTTGTCGGTTGCAGTATACAAAGTGAGATGACTAATTTATCCAGTAAATAGTTATAGTGATCTGGTTGATCAAAAGGGAAATGGACGAGCTAAAGATGAATTTGTAGGATGTGGAATGAGGATGAAAAGGTGACGATTCAAGCCTCATTTTATACCTGATTCCTTGCCGCTCATTCCTCCTCTCGTCAGAGACACATTCCAGTCATCTGTGTTCCCTACTGCCGGGCATAGCGATAGACTGATGTTCGTAGATGGACTAGTGTACCGAAAGCAGATCAACAGTGTCAAAACCATCCTTCGGTTTGCTTTTGACGCCTCCTTCATGGGATCCCACACGGAAATCGGATCTGCTGAAATGTTGATCGATTTGACGTGAGCTTGATCATATTCAGAATCATGTGACTGCTGGAAAGAATGCCAAGTCCATCTCCTCGACGATCCAGGATGTGTTTGTGGTTTTGTGTGATTCTATTTTTTTCATTATTCATCTTCAAAGTCCGACCTACTTTCAACACATCATCCATTCATATCGGGTCATGGTCCCTTTTTGGAAAAGGAAACAATCAGCTTGAACTCCGAATCACAGAAATGTTTGAGTGAATCCGACAGGTTTCTTAGTATAAACTCTGATAGCCAGTAAGATTATAATATGGTACTATAAGTTTTTTTACAACCTTATCATGGAATGGACTTTTGATCAAAAAGGTAACATTGGAGATGTAATTAGAGAGTAAGCTGAGGGTTTGTTATTACTTCTTAACGTCCAACATATAATGGAATAGTTGTATGGAAAAACAAATGAAGATTAGAATTAGAAGAAAAAAATCATTAGTTTCGGTCTATGCATGAGAGAAAAAGTGGAAATTGGATTGTGAAGTCCTTACGTGAAATGTAAGAAATGGAATGGTTAAGATTCAAGACTATAAAAAATTGATATACCTTACAAACAATTACTTTGAATGTACTGTGAATCTGAGATTTAAGGTATCAGCTTTACGTGGAAAGCTGCACTGTCTTACTGATCAAATGGAAAAGAAGAATCTAAAGGCAAACAAATTTTTTTATAAAAAATATGTTTGAGTTTGATGGTTAATATAAAAAAAGGGAATTTGATAAAGAAGATAAATCAACCTTTGAAATAAGAAAATCAAAGATGATCTTATAAGATTTGAATCAATCATGATTCATAAGGGTGTTTTCACTTAGGCCGCGTTCACTTAAGCGAATTTTCGTGAGAATTCGCATTCTTGAAAGTCAAGAAATCGCATTCTGTGAAATGCGTTCGATTCCTTAATTACAAGCATTCTGTAATTTACAGAATGCTTGTAAAAAGTATTTTTTCGTGTCATTTCAAGAATGCTCTATCAGAGCATTCTATCGAAGAAATCACATTCTGTGATTCTCAATTCTTCTTTTTTTTTGATAAATTCGGACAAGTCCCTGTCCAACGTACGGATCACTCCGATTTTGGACAAGTCAGCCTTTCACGTACAGATTCCCATACGTCTCACCAACCATCCTCTATCATCTTCTGTCCTCTATTGTCTTCCACCACCTTCTTCAACCTCCACTACACTACTCAACCTATTCAACATGTCCGATTCCGACACAAGTGATGTTATTAGGGACTGGGCGAAGCGCTGCAAAAATCCAATTCAACCGTAGTTGAAATACTATCGCAAGCAATCCAGCCCCTGTTGAATCAATATCAAAATTCCCTATTTTTATTAGTCAACTTCATGAGACTAAAAAAAATAGGGTGGCGCATAGCCGGTTGCCATCATCTGATGGGCTCTCCAATCCAAAACTTCCTACTCCTCAGCCAAAAGCCTTAGGCTGACCGCATCAGGATTGCCTGATATACCTTTCACAGATAAGGCTGTGGCCCTGAGCTCTCCGGTGGTGGTGCCCACGGGGGAGCCCGAAAAGGAAGTTTGTACCTTTGGGTTGGGGTCCTCATGAAGAACCCCTTGCGAGATAGACGTTGGAACATCCTATAGAAGTTGAGCAAGCAATCGGGTCTGTGGGAATATGGCCTTGGGAATGAACCCGGACTCAGCTTTGTCATCCCAATGAGATTTTGAACGGGGCACTTGGACATGCGAAAGGTCAGTGATATGTTCCTCCTGTTTAAATCTCTTCGGACAACTTCCTTGCTATACTTGCGCTAATTCAGGTGGCAAAATCCTGTGCTCGTCCGAACTTCGCCCAGTCCCTATTGTAGATCCACCGAAAGCCAAGTCCAAATCAAAAACAAAGTCGAAATCACAACCAAAGTCACAACCAAAGTCACAACCAAAGTCACAACCAAAGTCACAACCGAATTCAAAACCGAAATCAAAACCAGTCAACAATTCAAAGCAATCAAAAGATAAGAACGAAGAGATAGAGAAAGTCAAACCTGCCGCTACCGGTGAAGCATGGGATCTTCGACATACATTGTATCTTATTGATGAAGTCAAACAACAAATTGACCTTGGGCACGGAAACGATGGTGGTCTCAAGACCGAAGGATGGAAATCAGTTCGGACCAATTACAACAACAAATTCGATAGTGACGAACCTTTGAGCCGATTGAAGAATCACTTCCAAAAGGTTAGACTTCATTTTATGCTCATTTTCATTTGTATTTCAATTGAACTTGGTAAATAACTTACTTGATGTTTTGATTTGTAGTTAAAAAAAACTTACAAGGCTTTAGATAAGATAATGGATAGCTCTGGTGCTCCTGGAGTTGATGTGATTACTGGCGAGGTCAACACTGATAAGGATTGGTGGGACCACTGGATTAATGTGGTAAGCAGTTGTTGTTTTTATTTAATATCTTTCATAGCTGATGAAATTGTCTTGATGCTTTGATCATAGGCTGGGAATAACGACGCCAAACCCATCCAAAACAACGGTTTTGCAGCATATCAAGCTGTAGGTACAATCATGCCTGAAAAGCACCTTCGAGCCAACGGCAACAAAGGGTTTGGAACTCAAAGCAAAAAGAAGATAGTTGCTGTAGCTGAAAGTTCAGATGTGAATGAAGAAGGTAAGTCCAATCATGTCATCTGAACTTTCAGCTACAGTGATTCAGATATTGATTTCAATTCCATCAATCGAAGAGGAAGATGGTTCTCAATCTCAATCTCACTCTCCTAATTCAGATAAGGCCGACAATTCTGATATGGATGACATCGATGATATCAAAGGGAAAGGTAAAGGGCCTCCTCCTCCTCCTCCTTCACAAAAGAAGCGCACTAGAAATGTGAGCTCACCTTTCCTTTCTTCTGATTGTTTTCACCTTGTTATATTCCTGATTTTCCTCGAATCTTTTTTGTTTCTTTCTTTCTTTCCATCCATCAAGTCTCAGAAGTACCAGCTCACAGCAGCTGAAATGGCACTAGACGACGGCAGTGATGATGATGACGAAACCCCAGAGAAACGATTTGTCCGGAACAAACGAAGCCCAACCGGACCCTCAACTTCGACTTCCAAGCGATCACGTACCACTGGTCCAAAGCTGGTAGCGGAATCAATCACTCGAGCTGTTGACAGGTGTGCTGGTTTGGTGGAAAAGGAAGAAAGTGATAAGATAACTGTTATGGATGTCTATTATGTGACAGTGATTGTAAATGACATCATGTTGTTATGCTAATTACATTTCTCTCTATCAATATCTTTATAACCTATTAGCATATTGTTATATATCTATTGTAGATTTGGTTGTAGATGGATTGGTCTTTCCTCACCTTTCCTATATCAACTAACATTTCTATATCAGGTTAGTTATACAAGTATGCAATCTTACCTTTCCTATATCAACTAACATTTCTATATCAGCTGTGATCCATCTTATCAGGTTATGAGCCCCATCACGCAGATTTTATAAGAAAAATCAAGCTGAAAACCGTCTTCGAAGACTATCGAAAATCATCGATAGTAGTAGAAAACCGGTTTTAGAAAACTTTGGAAAGTTCCGTCTGTAAACAGACGATAAACTAGGATTGATCGATCCACAAACTCCGACAAATCTCCGACTAACTTGTTCAAATACACAAAAACTTTAATATATGCTGTATTTTGAACTCTATCTAATAACTCTTCTCTCGATATCGTTAAACTTCTTATCCTCGTTATCTTTGATGTCAAATCCAAGTGCCACTGCTGGTGAAAAGACTGTTCCGTCGGTTTCTACGTCTTCTTCTACGTCACGTGTACCTGGATCGTCTTCTCATCCGAGAACTAGTGTCGAAACCAAGCCGTCAACCAATATGTCGTTCAATAACGAAAAATTGGATGCTACCGGATGTCGACCACTCAAACCACCAGGTGAATTGTTGAATTACCATTATTGGCAATTTGTTATGGGTACTGTTATCAAAGGCTCTTCCTTTGGTTATGTACTGCGAGATAATCAACCGTTTCCGCTACCATCTTCTGACGAACAAGCAAGATGTAAAGTTTCGGCTTTGATTCTACGATATGTAGATCCTGCCAACATCGAGTTTCTTTCTCCCCATCCTGATGATCCGTATAATCAATGGAAGGCTTTGCGTGAAGCGCATCAAGACGCTTCCTCCGGATCTATAATGTTTTGGTTGAAGAAGTTGGTAACTGTTATGATGTGATAGTATGGATGTTGTGTGTTACAAGGTTATGACATCATAGTGTTATGCTAATACATGTTTCTCTCTTATAATATGTTTATAACCAAATTGTTGTTAGGTATATATATTATAGATTGGTTTCTTCTTCACCTTTCCTATTCATTCTAATCTTTCTATTCTAGGTAAGTTTATCACTACTATGAAATACTACCTTTCCTATTCATTCTAATCTTTCTATTCTAGTCCGTGATCCATCTTATCAGGTTATGAGCCCATCTCGTGAAGATTATAAGATAATCACACTTTGAATAGTCGGTTTCGAAGACTATCAAATCTCCGATACGTCTAGAAAACCGTTCTAGAAAACCTTGGAAAGGTCCGTCAACGATACAGACGATAAAGTTCTAATCGATCGACATAATACAAACTCCGAACTGTACTACTGCATTCATCTTCAAATACATGCAGTGTTATAAGGTTCTTCTCATCTTAATCTTGTTCGTATTCAATCAATTCTTCTTCATGTCTAATCCTAGTGCTACAGCTGGTGATAAGACCACTTCGACTTCATCTAAATCTCCTGGAACGACTCAACAACAAACCGGTCAACAGCAAACCGGTCGGTCTGAGTTAAAACCACCGATCACCATGACTTACAACAATGAAAAGTTGGAAGCCACTGGTGTGAAACCGTTGGAAGCTCCCGGTGAATCTTCGAACTATCATTATTGGCAATTTGTCATTGGTACAGTTATTAGAGGTTCCTCTTTTGGTTACGTCATACGCGATGTTCAACCTAATCCATTACCGGCGTCTAATGAACACGATCGATGTAAAGTTTCGGCATTAATCTTGAGATATGTAACCGAAGCGAACATCAAATTTCTTTCGCCATATCCGGATGATCCATTAAATCAATGGAAAGCATTGCGTGAAGCGCATCAAGATGCTTCATCAGGATCGGTCATGTTCTGGTTAAAAAAGCTTGTCACCGCTAAAATGGGTGATTCGTCCATCACGTCTCATCTCGAAACCATGGCTGCCGATTACCAACGTTTCAAATCTTTGGTTACTCCTGAAAGACCTCTTACTGCCGATACAATCTTCGCAACGGCAGTTAGTCTTTCATTAACTGCGGACTGGCAACCGGTATTACATCCTCTCCTTCAACGAGACTCGGTTACTTCTACTACGATTTTAAAGGTCCTGAGAGAAGAAGCTACTCGTCGATCTATCTCTTCAGATTCTGTTGAAGAAATTTCATCTGCTAGAAATGAAGAAAAGAACAAGGAAAAGGAAGTAATTTGTTCTCATTGCAAGAAGCCTAATCATAAGATGGAGGACTGCAGATTTTTGAAATCGTTAATTGAAAAATACAAGATCTTAAAAGCTGAAAAGAATGAAAATGATCAAGTTAAATCGAAACCTTCTAAAAATCAAGTGAAACGATCAAAAGCTAAGGCTAAAGCGGCGCGAATTTCCTCTGACTCGGATGTTTCGATTGATATCAACTCTGAAATATCGGCATCTGCGACTGTGAAAGCTTCTGCTGTCAAATCAGACAGCTGGTTGGTTGATTCTGGTACGAGTCAAATCATGACACCATTTTCACAAACTCTCTCTAATCGAAAGTCAGATGGTACCATGATCAGTCTTGCGAATGGCTCTACTGTCAATGCAGTCTCAAAAGGTTTAGTGGAATTACCATTCACTAACTTTAAAGACATCAAATCATTATATGTCCCGACTCTATCCGAACCTCTTCTTTCGGTTTCAAAATTGGCTGACAAGAAAATCTCAACTGTTTTTGATGCTTCAACTGTTTCATTTGTTAAAAATTTAAAATTTACCGGTGAAACTGTTGGAACTGGAGAACGAAGCGGAAATTTATATTATCTTAATCAAAAAGTAGGTAATTTGAATTCTACCGATCATACTTCGAAAGCTTCGGTTTCTGACGTTGAACTCTGGCATCGTCGTTTCAATCATCCCGGATATGCAGCTTTGAAAAGAAAATTATCATTGTTGAAAATCAAAGTTGATGAATCTGAGTTGCGAAAATTACATTCTTGTAAGATTTGTATACAAGGAAAAATGAGGCGTAGAAATATGTCCAGTCGAGCTGGGTGGAGATCTAAGAAACCTCTAAGTGTGATTCATTCCGACGTGTCTTCTTATTCTGTTGTATCAAGAAAAGGCTATAAATACTTTGTTACATTTATCGATGACTATACAAAGTATACTAAAGTTTATTTGATGCAATCAAAAGATCAAGTTTTATCAAAATTCAAATTGTTCTATAATGAGATGACAAATAAGGTTGATGGAATTATTGCTGAGTTAAGAACAGATAATGGCACTGAGTACATCAATTCAGAATTTTCGAAGTATTGTGCGGAAAAAGGCATTCTACAAACAACCGGTCCTCCTGATTCACCACAACTTAACGGTGTATCTGAAAGGTGGAACAGAACGATTAAAGAAAAAGTTCGTTGTTGTTTAATCGAAGCACATTTGCCTGATCGATTCTGGGGGGATGCTTTGGAATATGCAACAGAGACGCTGAACAATATGCCAACTAGGACGAATGATAAGTTTCAAACACCAATTTCTTTAATGGGTATTCGTGAACGTCAAGAACATACTTTTCATGCATTTGGTTGTCAAGTATGGTATCACGTTATAAAACCAATGTCGACACTTAAGCCAAGAGCTAAATCTGCTATTTTTCTCTCATATTTAATCAACAATGAGGGTGCTATAGTTTGGGATGTTGAAAAGAAATGTGCTCTCAAAGCAACTTCTTTGATATTCCTCGATAAAGTTTTTCCTGGATTAGATTCAGATTCTTTATTACCAGTGCCTAGTGAAGAAAGTTCACTTCCTTGGCCAACACTAGAAGAACATTCGATTCCTACTGAAGACTCAATTCCTTCTAATGATCCTTCTCAAGAACCTTCACCACTTCAACAAATCTATACTCGACCATTTCGCTCACGCAAACAACCTGTTCGTTATGGAGAATTCGGAAGGGCTGCATTCATTGAATGTGAGAAAGATCCGACGACTTACAAGCAAGCCAAAAGGTCAGCTAACTGGGATCTTTGGAAGTTAGCTGCTGAGGCAGAAATGAGGTCACTAGTTGGTAAGGAAACATGGAAATTGGTTCCTAGACCAGCGAGGAGAAAAATCATACGTTGTAAATGGATTTTCAAAACGAAACGCAACATTGATATGTCGATTGATAAGCTAAAAGCTCGATTAGTAGCTTTGGGTTTCTCTCAAATCACAGGCATAGATTTCTCTGAAGTGTTTTCACCGACAAGTCGTCAAGAATCAGTAAGACTATTTTTATCAATCATGGCTAAAAATGGTTGGAAAGGCGTTTCTTTAGACATTAAAACTGCTTTTCTTAACGGTGATCTGGATGAAGAGATATATATGGAACAAGCTGAAGGTTTTATTGACTCTGAACATCCTGATTGGGTATATAAAATTATGAGATCATTGTACGGTTTAAAACAATCACCGAGACAATGGAATATTAAATTACATCAATTTTTAATATCAATTGGTTTTATTCGCTCAAAACACGACCCTTCAATTTATTACAAGATGAATGATGAAGGAAACATCAAATGTTTACTGTGCACTCACGTAGATGATATAGCAGTAACTGGTGAAAATGCTGAAATTCAAGATTTTCGATCTCTTATCAAGAAACGTTTTGAAATCTCGTCAGACAAACCACTATCACATTTTTTATCTCTCAAAATCTCTGAAGTTAAAAATAATATGGTATCAGTTGATCAGTCTCATTACATAACAAATCTTCAAAAGGAATTTATGAAAAACAAAGTCAAATTATTCAACACGCCAAATGATGACAATTTCAAAACGTTAGTTCCTTTCAAAGATGAAGACGAAATTACTGAAAATTCATATTCAAGCTTAATCGGGGGTCTGTTGTGGGTAGCCCAGTGCACCCGACCAGATATAGCTTTTGTTGTAAATCGACTTTCTCAATTTTTAAAGAAACCATCGACAGTTCATTGGGATGCAGCTTTAAGGGTATTAGGTTATTTAGTAAGGACAAAGGATTTGAGGTTAAATTTAGGTGGCAAGGAACTTTCTCCGACGGCGTTTTCAGATGCAGACTGGGCAGAAGACAGACATGAAAGAAAGTCGACGACTGGATACGTTTTTATGTTGGGAAACGGTCCAATCTCGTGGAGATCAAGAAAGCAAAGAACGGTTTCTTTATCTAGTACTGAGTCAGAGTATATGGCTATGAGTGACTCGTGTAGGGAAGCGAGGTGATTGGTTTCTTTGTTGAATGAGCTGAATGTTTCGAAAGAGAAGATGTTTAGGTTATGTGTGGACAATGAAGGAGCAGAGGCTTTGGCGCTTAATCCATCTCACCATTTGAGAACGAAACATATTCATACTCGTTTTCATTTCGTACGTCAATGTGTGGAGGATGGTATAGTGAAATTAATTCATGTATCTTCATCAAAAATGTTAGCGGACATGCTAACTAAAGGACTTTCAAGGGTTTTATTAATCAAACATAGGTTATCTCTCAGCATATATTAAAAACATGTTATCAGCAAGGGGGGATGTTATGATGTGATAGTATGGATGTTGTGTGTTACAAGGTTATGACATCATAGTGTTATGCTAATACATGTTTCTCTCTTATAATATGTTTATAACCAAATTGTTGTTAGGTATATATATTATAGATTGGTTGTCATGATGGATTGGTTTCTTCTTCACCTTTCCTATTCATTCTAATCTTTCTATTCTAGGTAAGTTTATCACTACTATGAAATACTACCTTTCCTATTCATTCTAATCTTTCTATTCTAGGTAAGTTTATCACTACTATGAAATACTACCTTTCCTATTCATTCTAATCTTTCTATTCTAGTCCGTGATCCATCTTATCAGAAAGGGATGTAGATTGTAGGTGGAAGGGCTGTATCACAGAAAGTGTCAAGCTTACCAATTCTGAACATCCACTCCTTGTTGTAAATTCATTGATACCTATTCAAGATGATGACCAACACAGGAATTTGTACTATTTGTTGCCAGACTTGCTGAGTGCCTATGTGATATACAACAACCACAGAGAATATCATGTCATTATGTGTGGCAAGGTCACTGGGCAGCTAGTTTACATCAAGAAAAAAAGGTACTCTTGGTATTGAACACCCAATAATCTCAATGGTTGAATTGATTGATCTAGTGATTTTGAATTGATTGAGGTTTGTTGTCTTGACTAAATCTTGTAGTCTGACCAGGGATTTGTGCAAGGCAGTGCTGAATGTTCATAGTATGTTGTCACAGTTGCACTTAGGAATCCTTTTTGTTTGAACACTCTTGATTTGTAAATGATAAGGATTTGTATCTAAGCAATTTGAGAGATATAAATTCTGGACTCCACCAATGATGTTGTGTTGGGGTGCATATGGGGAGCTTAAGTTTCTAGCTAATTATGAATGTCCATGTGTAGATCTGTTCCATGACTGGGCAAGAAGTTTTGAATGACCAGTCCAGACATATTTCTGATCAGTGGTCAAGGTATGTACAATAACTTGTCAAAAACTGCATATTGTAAGTCAAACAACGCAATCAAAACCATCTCAAAACATTTTCAAATTGCCAGGGTAAACTGACC